AAGTACAGTAACAAAGTATTTGTACTCCACTACTTCCCACCTCTGACTCCATGTGGGCTGTAACAGAATGTTCTTTGCTAAATCATAACACTTGTTAAAGAGGTGTTTTATGTGTTTGTTGAACAGGAACGCTCCTGATCCAGCTCAGGAGAGCCAGGGTTTTGGTTACACTAAACCCATCCTGCAGGCTCAGTCCGCAGTGTGTGTCCGCACCCCTCATTACGGCACCAGGTCAGTGTCTTCCACCTCCACCAGAACTCTCTGTCCTCTCTCAGCAGGGGTGACTCACAGGGACACGGAGAACACAGAGCTGTTCGTACACAGAGTCTAAAAGGTCACAGGGTCAGTGTGTGGCGGCTATATTCCCATTGAATACGGCCGCTCTGAGGCTAAACTTCGCTCATTGATGTGACGCGTGTAAATAATAACGTCTGTACTGAACTCGACGTTTTAAGGATATTTAATATTGTAAATCAAAACAATAAACAAACAGAATCATACGGTCAACAAAATATATCGGAGCTAAGCTCACCCCCATTGTCATGCCACTAAACCTCCACATCATACACCCGGTGCCGTCAATACCATTAACCACACCATGTGACAATCAGCGGAAACAACCCATTACAAGTGTGTGTGTGGTGTTAACAAATAAGAGTGTCCTTTAGCCAGGCGCTGTTGACATTTCAAACTGATCTCTACCCCTTCCAACTCAGTGACGTAGTAAACATATTGTGAGCCATAATAGGGGCATGAGTATGCTTTTTGGGGACCTTCCCTTTCCTGTAGTGCATGTGTTATATTGGTTTATGTGCATGTAAATGGTCTGCAAAGGCTAAAATCCCAGTGTTCCCTTCAGAGATTTCGGACAGAGGGTGAAAAGAGGTGCTGCAGCACAGGCAGTATGAGAAAAATAAAGAGCTTTTTGAACATTAAAGCATGGAGACATGTCCCAGTAGAGACACTACATACAACTTTGAACCTGAAAATGTGTATTATAGGGCGCCTTTAAATCTTCATTCGCTGTAAAGGTTGGCGATTTGCCATGATTATAATTGGATATTCATTTCCTGGTGTTAAATACTAAATACCTCCAATTTGACTTTTAAATGATCCCAGTTGTCCTCAGTGTTATCCTGCCACCTGCCTGTGCTCTTTAATGTGTCTTCTAGTATTTTCTGTTAGTGATTCCTTGTGTATGTTTGCTTGTTTCCTGTTTCCTTGCCCCCTTAAGGACCAACACAATTATCCTGATAGACGCAGCGGGTAACGTGACCTTCACAGAGCGCACCATGCCCACCTGTGACACGAACAAATGGAGCACCAATTCTTTCCAGTTCAAACTGGAGGTGTGAAGACGTGATGGAGGAAACCCACTCTGTGCCTTTCTGCACCCCCCCCCCCCCCCCCCCCCCACTTCATTACAGCAGCTGTGTGAACATGAAGTCTCTTCAGCACTTTTTCTTCAGCTAGTCGACACTAGCGTCCTCATTAAAATCTGTGATATGTATTTCTTATTCTAGATTTAAGTTAAGATGCATCTTTTGAAAATGTGTGCTTATTTAAAAGTTTGCCAAAGAACATTTTGTGGAGAAAAATGTATTTAACGTGCATTTTACAAAGCAGCAGGGTTGGGTTGCTAATTTGTTACAGATCGCTGGTGATCTGCTTTCAAATGCAATCAATACCGATAATTGTAATATAATTTAATCTTGTTGGTTTCTTATTTTCACTTCTTTTAAATGTGTGATATGTAGTGAATATACACTTTGCACAATTTCCAGACTGTTTTACACATTGGGAAATCATTGGATCTCCAGTATTTTTCTACAGAATGTGTGATTTTGATTTAAATTCACAGTAACTATCACAAATTAAAACTACTTTTACAAATTAACTATGCCCAAACCCTGCACAACAGTAGCCTCAGCGTTGGTTCAAACAATGGATATTTTTTCCGACACTGATCATGGTAGAATAATGCATTTTACAACTGTTTGTCAATAAAATCATTGTATTCAAACACTCACTGTTGGCTCATTATGTAATGATTGTTAGCACAAAGACACGGTGGGGAACCCAATTCTCTTTTTTTAAGTAACACAGCATATGTCTGCTTTTTCATCTTTATCAAAACAGCTGGTTCTAGCTTTAACCTTATGTATATTACCTTTTGTGTTTCTTTGCAGTTTACCCACACGTACAGGTGTTTGGACACTCATGAGTACAAATGTTCATAATGACAAGCCTAACTTCATATCAATATGGAAGATCATTTGTAAATCCATCGACATTGTTCCTGTCTTTTAATGGAAAGAAATGATCTGAATCACTGGGCTAAAGCTGCTGCACATTGTCAACTGTTATTGAGCAGTGACCCCTACAGGAGATTTAAGATATTGCACTTCTCATGTAATCATCCCATAAGGACTGTTGTAGGTAAAAGACGTTTAAACAAGTAGCTCTCACATAAAAAGGTTATTTTTAAACATCGGCTAAATGATTCTTATTTTGGTATGGAGTCAATAGAGGGTCAAATGTCTTGTAGCTATGTATCACCATTTCTGTGTGTGAAAACGTTATGAATAATACATTCTGATATCTATAAATGTGTGAACAATATTTAAACAAATAGGTTTTCCTATAAGATCTGTAGCTCCGCATCACATTTTGTGAACAAATAAAAACATGTTTGCATAAATCATTTTGATACGTGCGAGTGCATAAAGAAAATGTCCTCAAGGGTTTTCATTTACATATATGGTTTTAATTATGGAGGACCGAACATGACACAAGTATACATAAATAAATGTATGAATAAAAACATAAATAAATACAGGAATAATGATTTTCAGTTTCTTAAATCACTTAATCACTGATTATAATGTTCTTCTTACTTGCAATTCTCTAGCTCATTAATGCTCCTGTGCTTACAGTTCCCCACCAGAAATATAATAAACATGCCATTCTTTTCAGTTTATCTTACTCTGATGGCTTACTTGATGATTTAACAGATATAATGTTCAATTAAAAGTGAATTGAGAAGCTGAAGACCAAACTTGTCATTACTTGTTGAACCTTAGGTTGCTGCATGTTATATAACAGTTGTACACCTAACCCTAACGAGATACCAATCAGGGATATTTACCTTTCGGTTCAGTAGGTTTAGTTTATTACTTGATTCTTTTATAACGTCACTACTACGACTACACATGGCCGGTTAGCTCAGTTGGTTAGAGCGTCGTGCTAATAACGTGAAGGTCGTGGGTTCGATACCCGTACTGGCCACTGTATGTTTTCTCTCACACGTTGAGTTAGTACAATTTGACCAAAGTATCAAACGGGGGAAAAAGCGAATTAAATGAGTAAGTAACTGCAAATAAGTGTCTATCTAAACACGGAATCATTTAATGTGTTACAATTATTTCCACAATTGAAAAATGACATTTACAATATAAATAATTGCATAATAAAGAAAGAATAAAATAAATAAAAACACTAAACCAAATTCAACTAGAAAATGCATTTCCTGCAGAAAATGCGTGCGAATGCTGTAAACTGTGAACATTTGTGGCTGAATTTAGCTGAAAATGCAGAAAAAGCTGAATATTTTATGAGCTGAATGGTAGCTGCTTTTAGCTAGAGAGACCAAGGGTGTTTCTCAATCGCGAGTAAAGCTGCTTCAGAGCCACTATTTCAAGCATACTACGTCATCGAGTGCCGCCGAAGTACTGTTCCAATCTCCAGCATACTTGGAAATCTACCGAGCCCGGCCTACTCCGTTTGGAGAAATATCGAGGCTGCACATGAGTAGACTCCGCGGTCTTAAAATCCCCACAATGCTTTGCCAATTCCCAAATCTGTGGCGGAAAATGTAAGGCAGGGCCTCTCAGATATAATGTTCAATTAAAAGTGAATTGAGAAGCTGAAGACCGAACTTGTCATCATTACTGGGTGTTGAACCTTAGGTTGCTGCATGTTCATTTAATGCTTAGACCTCTAGGCCACTAATATAGTTTTAAAGCATGATCGCCCATCTGTTGCCGTGACGTTTTCTCAAGTGTATTTGTACCTTTACGCACACAATGCACATTAAAGCGGCATGCATCTTTTACGCAATGCTGTTTGGTGGGTCGCCTTGTATTCTGTGGATACGACAACATTCATAACTATTGTACTTTAAATTCCTCTGACAAGTTTTAACACATGTACGTAGTGAGGTGTCTTTAACAATATCTTTGAATTGCTATAATACAATCCCCCTTTAATTTGGAATCTTTGTGTACACAGCAAGGAGAAACACAGAGCACTTCTATCTTTGAGCAGATCATCACATGCTAAATAAATATTCTGAAATTGGACAATAATGAGTATTAATACAGTTGTAGCTGGCCAAAAACTGAAAACGGGTGTTTCGAACCTGTCATTGTTATGAAATTCATCTCCAGTCTTTCTCCATCTTTAGTTGGAGAACTAAACTATATCCGAGTGGATTCCAAGTTGTGATCTTTTTACACTGTATTCCCACTACTTATACCTTCTATATTCAACACACATTATGTTCTTTGACTGTAGAAGCCCAATTGTAAAGATGATATTGAATTCTCTATAGGTGGCTTTAGCTCAAGTGGTAAATGGATGTCTATCAACCTGAAGGTCACTGGTTCACTTCCATCTCAGATCACATGCAACCAACAAGGCTATGGCGACTGTTCAACATAGCTATGTTTATTTCAATATTTCATTATGTATGTCAACATTCATACATTACTGCAATACATGTAGTTATTGTATTTAGATTAGTGTTATTTATTTTATTCTTTATGCATTTATTTCTATTGTAGGCCTAAATGTAATTTTTTATTTGTAGAAATACTTTTAACCCGTTAAATAACTCCGTGTTTAGATAGACACTTATTTGCAGTTACTTACTCATTTAATTTGCTTTCCCCCCCGTTTGATACTCTGGTTAAATGTTACATGTGAGAGAAAACATACAGTGGCCAGTACGGGTATTGAACCCGCGACCTTCGCGTTATTAGCACGACGCTCTAACCAACTGAGCTAACCGGCCATTGGTAGTCCTAGCAGTGACGTAATCAAAGTAATAAACGAAACCTACAGAACCGAAAGGTAAATATTCCTGGTTGGTATCTCGTTAGGTTAGGTGTAGGCTACAACTGTTATTGAGCAGTGACCCCTACTGAAGATTTAAGATATTGCACTTTAAAATACTTCTCATATAATCATCCCATGGACTGACGTATTTATTTAAATAATGTTCACACATTTATAGATATCAGAATGTATATTACATTCTGATATCTACGCGTTAACTTGACAGCCGTAATATATTCATAACGTTTTCACACACAGAAGTGATATAGCTCCAAGACAGAGTGGCGAAGTCCCTCCCCTTCCGGTGGACCTCCATGGGACCTTATTTCGGAAAGATTATGTATTGAAGTCAATGGAGAGAGAAAGATTATCTTTCGATCCCGTTTGAATTGTGCCACGAATTAGACATATGACGTTTGTCAATAAAAAAGATAATTTTGCAAGTCAAAAAACTAAAAATGTGTCGTAAAACTGTGAAGTAACACTTTTTGTTTGTGTGAAACGCTCAATGAACTACATCTCTGGTCAACAACACACGTCACCAAGATGGCCGTCACTACTGTCAACAAAACGATTGGCTACCCTCACTATCACCACAATGAAACACGTCCTGAAGAATGTCATGCAAAGCTGCCTGCCTGCCTTCGATTCTCTCTGAACTGCCTGGTCGTTTTAATGTTTAATGTCAACCATTTGTGCAGATAGCATGAAGTAGAGAAGATCGCTAGCGTTAGCGTTAGCATTTCTCCCCCGGGCTTAAATTGTGTATTATAGAATGATCACACCGGTGACAGTACTATTCAAAGGGTTCACGAAATATGACTACTACTCTTACTGTTTAACATGTTGGGTTACTTCATGTTACTTCATGTTAAGGCTAATAAAAATGACACAGCTGTAATGCTAACTAACGTGCTAGCTACTAGCTAGCTTGATCCAGACACTCCTAGTCCTTTCATCAGACGGGAAGCGAAAGAATGAGCAAGACCCATTGCTGGTATAATAACAACCTGGTACTAAGCACACAGGCATCTTGTTAAAGTTATCTTATCTTAGCCAGCGCCATATAGATAGATTATATCTATATGGCGCTGATCTTAGCTATTGTGACATCACTTACGCGACTCTGGGATTTGTAGTCTTTCTAGTTGCGTATTTTTCATAGTCTTATATTTCAACAGTTTTAAGACAAACTGTGACTTTTTTGACATGGAAATGATTTTTTAAGATTGACAAACATCATATGTGTAATTCATGGCACAATTCAAACGGGATCGAAAGATAAGTTTTCTCTCCCCATTGACTTCAATGCATAATTTTTCCGAAATAAGGTCCCGTTACCCGGAAGTAGGTGGGCGTGACTTCGCCACTCTATTTGACCCTCTATAGAGTGGCGAAGTCCCTCCCCTTCCGGTTGAGCCCCATGGGACCTTATTTCGGAAAAGTTATGCATTGAAGTCAATGGAGAGAGAAAGATTATCTTTCGATCCCGTTTGAATTGTGCCACGAATTACACATATGATGTTTGTCAATTTAAAAGATAATTTTGCAAGTCAAAAAAAAAAAAATGTGTCGTAAAACTGTGAAGTAACACATTTGTTTGTGTGAAACGCTAAATGAACTACATCTCTGGTCAACCACACACGTCACCAAGATGGCCGTCACTACTGTCATGTCAACAAACGATTGACTATCACCACAATGAAACACGTCCTGAAGAATGTCATGCAAAGCTGCCTGCCTGCCTTCCTTTGATTCTCTCTGAACTGCCTGGTCGTTTTAATGTTTAATGTCAACCATTTGTGCAGATAGCATGAAGTAGAAAAGATCGCCGATGCTAACGTTAGCGTTAGCATTTCTCCCCCGGAATTAAATGGTGTATTATAGAATGATCACACCGGTGACAGTACTATTCAAAGGGTTCACGAAATATGACTACTACTCTTACTGTTTAACAATTTGGGTTACTTAATGTTACTTCATGTTAAGGCTAATAAAAATGACAAGGCTGTAATGCTAACTAACGTGCTAGCTACTAGCTAGGTAGCTAACTTGATCAAGCCACTCCTGGTCGTTTCATCAGACGGGAAGCAAAAGAACGAGCAAGACCCATTGCTGGTATAATAACAACCTGGTACTAAGCACACAGGCATCTTGTTAAAGTTATCTTATCTTAGCCAGCGCCATATAGATAGATTATATCTATATTGCGCTGATCTTAGGTATCTGAATGGTGGAGGTAAACAATTGTGACATCACTTACGCGACTCTGGGATTTGTAGTCTTTCTAGTTACGTATTTTTCATAGTCTTATATTTCAACAGTTTTACGACAAACTGTGACTTTTTTGACATGGAAATGATTTTTTAAGATTGACAAACATCATATGTGTAATTCATGGCACAATTCAAACGGGATCGAAAGATAAGTTTTCTCTCCCCATTGACTTCAATGCATAATTTTTCCGACATAAGGTCCCATACCCCGGAAGTAAGTGGGAGGGACTTCGCCACTCTATAGAGTGGCGAAGTCACGCCCATCTACTTCCGGTCGGTACTCCCGATTGAGAAACACCCACAGACTTGGGGTGTTTCTCAATCGCGAGTACGCTTGCTTGGTAGCACATGTCTGCCGAGCATCTTGCTTCAGAAACGAGTCAAGAATACTTCCTGGCATTCGGAAAACGAAGAGTGGAACACGCTAGCAAGTGTGCAGGTGTGCGTCATATGAGAGGCCCCGCCTTACATCTTCCGCCACAGATTTGGGGAAATTGGTCCGTGCGCAAAGCATTGTGGGGATTTGAAGACCGCGGAGTCTACTCATGTGCAGCCTCGATATTTCTCCAAACGGAGTAGGCCGGGCTCGGTAGATTTCCAAGTATGCTGGAGATTGGAACAGTACTTCGGCGGCACTCGATGACGTAGTATGCTTGAAATAGTGGCTCTGAAGCAGCTTTACTCGCAATTGAGAAACACCCTTGGTCTCTCTAGCTAAAAGCAGCTACCATTCAGCTCATAAAATATTCAGCTTTTTCTGCATTTTCAGCTAAATTCAGCCACAAATGTTCACAGTTTACAGCATTCGCACGCATTTTCTGCAGGAAATGCATTTTCTAGTTGAATTTGGTTTATTGTTTTTATTTATTTTATTCTTTCTTTATTATGCAATTATTTATATTGTAAATGTCATTTTTCAATTGTGGAAATAATTGTAACACATTAAATGATTCCATGTTTAGATAGACACTTATTTGCAGTTACTTACTCATTTAATTCGCATTCCCCCATAACTCACTGTACTAACTCAACGTGTGAGAGAAAACATACAGTGGCCAGTACGGGTATCGAACCCGCGACCTTCGCGTTATTAGCACGACGCTCTAACCAACTGAGCTAACCGGCCATGGGTAGTCATAGTAGTGACGTGATAAAAGAATCAAGTAATCAACGAAACCTACTGAACCGAAAGGTAAATATCCCTGGTTGGTATCTCGTTAGGGTTAGGGTTACAACTGTTATATAACATGCAGAAACCTAACGTTCAACACCCAGTAATGACAAGTTTGGTCTTCAGCTTCTCAATTCACTTTTAATTGAACATTATATCTGTTAAATCATCAAGTAAGCCATCAGAGTAAGATAAACTGAAAAGAATGGCATGTTTATTATATTTCTGGTGGGGAACTGTAAGCACAGGAGCATTAATGAGCTAGAGAATTGCAAGTAAGAAGAACATTATAATCAGTGATTAAGTGATTTAAGAAACTGAAATTCATTATTCCTGTATTTATTTATGTTTTTATTCATACATTTATTTATGTATACTTGTGTCATGTTCGGTCCTCCATAATTAAAACCATATATGTAAATGAAAACCTTTGAGGACATTTTCTTTATGCACTCGCACGTATCAAATGATTTATGCAAACATGTTTTTATTTGTTCACGAAATGTGATGCGGAGCTACAGATCTTATAGGAAAACCTATTTGTTTAAATATTGTTCACACATTTATAGATAACAGAATGTATATATTCATAACGTTTTCACACACAGAAATGGTGATACATAGCTACAAGACATTTGACCCTCTATTGACTCCATACCAAAATAAGAATCATTTAGCCAATGTTTAAAAATAACCTTTTCATGTGAGAGCTACTTGTTTAAACGTCTTTTACCTACAACAGTCCTTATGGGATGATTACATGAGAAGTGCAATATCTTAAATCTCCTGTAGGGGTCACTGCTCAATAACAGTTGACAATGTGCAGCAGCTTTAGCCCAGTGATTCAGATCATTTCTTTCCATTAAAAGACAGGAACAATGTCGATGGATTTACAAATGATCTTCCATATTGATATGAAGTTAGGCTTGTCATTATGAACATTTGTACTCATGAGTGTCCAAACACCTGTGTGTGGGTAAACGGCAAAGAAACACAAAAGGTAATATACATAAGGTTAAAGCTAGAACCAGCTGTTTTGATAAAGATGAAAAAGCAGACATATGCTGTGTTACTTAAAAAAAGAGAATTGGGTTCCCCACCGTGTCTTTGTGCTAACAATCATTACATAATGAGCCAACAGTGAGTGTTTGAATACAATGATTTTATTGACAAACAGTTGTAAAATGCATTATTCTACCATGGTCAGAGTCGGAAAAAAATCCATTGTTTGAACCAACGCTGAGGCTACTGTTGTGCAGGGTTTGGGCATAGCTCATTTGTAAAAGTAATTTTAATTTGTGATAGTTACTGTGAATTTAAATCAAAATCACACATTTTGTAGAAAAATATTGGAGATCCAATGATTTCCCAATGTGTAAAACAGTCTTGGAAATTGTGCACTACATATCACACATTTAAAAGAAGTGAAAATAAGAAACCAACAATTATATTACAATTATCGGTATTGATTGCATTTGAAAGCAGATCACCAGCGATCTGTAACGAATTAGCAACTCAACCCTGCTGTTTTGTAAAATGCCGGTTAAATACATGCAGGGGTGCAGAAAGGCACAGAGTGGGTTTCCTCCATCACGTCTTCACATCTCCAGTTTGAACTGGAAAGAATTGGTGCTCCATTTGTTCGTGTCACAGGTGGGCATGGTGCGCTCTGTGAAGGTCACGTTACCCGCTGCGTCTATCAGGATAATTGTGTTGGTCCTTAAGGGGGCAAGGAAACAGGAAACAAGCAAACATACACAAGAAATAACTAACAGAAAACGCTAGAAGACACATTAAAGAGCACAGGCAGGTGGCAGGATAACACTGAGGACAACTGGGATCATTTAAAAGTCAAATTGGAGTTTAGCAAACACGTTTATCAATCAATCATTACGTCATATGGCCAACCTTTACAGCGAATGAAGATTTAAAGGCGCTCTATAATACTAATTTTCAGGTTCATATTTCTATTTAGTGTCTCTACTGTGACATGTCTCCATGCTTTAATGTTCAAAAAGCTCTTTATTTTTCTCATACTGCCTGTGCTGCATTACCTCTGTTCACCCTCTGTCTGAAACCAGAGCCCAGTCTGCCCTGATTTGTTAGCTGGCCGGCTCTGCTGTGATCTTAGAGATGTCCCGCCCCTTAACCCATCACGTACAATATTGGAACATGTATTGGATGTTACAGAAGTAAACAAAGGAGTCCAATGGAGGCATTTCAGGCAGGGAACACAGAGATATTAGCCTTTGCAGAACATTTACATGCACATAAACCAATATAACACACTACAGGAAAGGGAAGGTCCTCAAAAAGCATATTCATGCCCCTATTATGGCTCACAATATGTTGACTATATCACAGAGTGGGAAGGGGTAGGGATCAGTTTGAAATGTCAACAGCGCCTGGCTAAAGGACACTCTGACGGCTCTGGCATAGACTGACTTCCCTCACCCCGTCAGGGTTTGGCTGGACAGAAATGCTTGGACTTGAGAATGCTGATGTTTTTCCCACACTCCCAGCACTGCTGCTTGATGTGTGGAACGCCCTGCTGGGTCTTTCTCTTACACAGTGAACACACATCAGCAGCACCTTCACCTCCTCCTCCACATGATTGTATCAGAAGCTCTTGAAGTTCTTTCTGTATGGAATCATTTGGTGCCTTTGCGATGCCTACCACTTTCACTCTTTTGGGATCAAACACACAGTCCTCCTCCAGGCCACTGCGCACTGCTCGGAGGCCAACTTTGGGGGGCACCCAAGCAGTGTCGTAGCCATGTGAGTGCCATGTTTGCTGCATGGGATGGTTGTCCTTGTCAATGCGCTTGACACGGCCAACGCGCACATGTACCTGAAGGACAACTCGGTCCGTAGGATTACTTCTCAGAGGATAAGCTGTCGCCTTTTTTATATTACGACTGACATACACGCCCATTCCCAGCATGCCCTTTGAAGACTGTTTAAAACCGTTGGCAATGATGACTCGTGCGCTGGTGATGCTGGTCCCGTGGTACATGGTGTAGACGCCGCTGCTTCGGGGTTTCTGGGACGAGTCCAGCTCCAAACCAGGAAAAGAAGCGCCATCGTCAAACACCTCCCAGCCGGAGAACTGCACTGACATCCTGGTTCAGACGTGTGGCTAATGGAGGATGTTGTAAAGACTCCGTAAAGATCGGAAGTTCTGTAAGAAATTAAAAGGGAGATGTGGCATTATGTTAGATTTAAGATCAATCAGGTTGTTACCTTAATTTAACCCTCCTGTCATGTTCGTTTCTCCCCCCTTACTTTGGTGATTAAACATTAATCATCACCAAACTTTATTTAGCACCCCTTATAATCTTTAAACAATGTCTCAGACTACTGGTTTACATGATTACTGCAGTGAATATACAAAGAAAAGACAATGAACATGTATTCCAACATTAACATTTTGTTGATTTGTCCGTACTATCTGATTGATGAACATAATCTAGGGTTACCCATTCATTTCCTATGGCGTTTTAAAAAGTTGACTAAACCACTCAAAATTCAATGAAAGTGGTGATCAGCAATTTTATATGTTCAAATAAATGCCTACTGTGAAGGTAATCATAAAGCATTCAAGCAATCAAAGGTAAAACACAATATTTATGAGCGATGAGGGTTAAAAGAGTCAAGCAAAAGCAATGAGAAAAGTGTGGCTAGCTTGGATTCCTTCTGTGTATATCTATAATATTGTGTATTCTTTTTTAAATGTGCCTTGATGCCTCTTTTGTCACATTAAAGCACTCTGAATCCTTAAGAAGTTCTATACAAATGAACTTGCCTTGCCCTGTTTCGCTTCCTCCTTGTGGGATTTTACATTTTAACTTGCTAAATCACCTGTATTTGCTTCCTTGTCAGAAGTGAGTCCATCTTGTAGCTTGTCATAAATGTTGCTAACCTTGCTGGTTGTATTGCACTCTTATTCAGTTGGTCTGCCTTTAAAATTCACATTCAACATTACACTAACTCTATGAAACATTACTTGATAGTTTATTCAACTATAGCTGCAGTCCGTGTGTAACAGAAAAGTAGGTTATAAGTCAAATACAACTTTAGACATTAAGGAACACAGTCAGAGTAAACATTGTAGTTTTTGTCAGCCTAAACATTATCACTCTGATAGCCATAAACTGTTGCATGACTGATGTTATTTTATTGACTTTCTCTATAAATCTAGCAAAGTAAAACGCATTAACATGTTTAAACTATGAAATCTTACCGTCAGTAATGAAGTAAAAGATATGATTCTAAAATGTATTGAAGTAAACATGTATTATTTTGAATTGTATTTTAGTGAACATGTATTGTTTGAACTGTTTTAAGTATGTAAGTAATCACATATATAGAAATTATATTCTCACTTACAACTCACTGACCCAGAGATCCTGTTTCACACACATACACCTCCTTCTCACCAGCACACACACACATATTCTTTTCAAGGTTCTTTCTGGGCATCATTATATTTGTGCACAAGGTTTAATTGTATGAGAAAGAATAGTTTATGTGAAAGATACCATGGGAAAGTAAGGGAGTGGATATCGGGGCAGAGATAAGATTGACTTTGGCCTTGAGGAACTTCAGAATCTCACGTTCTGGTCAGAACTCTGATTTGCTGTATTGAACCCGACCAGAAGTGAATCCAACCAGTAAAAACACCTGGGGGATGTGAGCAGCTCACACAGCTCCTCCCCACGGACTCTCTAATTCGCTTTGGAGTAAAATGGGAAGGAAGAAGTCAACCCATCTCCGCCCCAAAATATGAATATGAATACTGTTGTTTTTGTATGTAAAATGCTTCTGGTTTGCTGAAAGCTGGTCTAGAGACGTGTATACCGCATCACAAACCTGAAGTCCGTGCTTCTGGTTTGCTGAAAGCTGGTCTAGAGACGTGTATACCGCACCACAAACCTGAAGTCCGTGCTTCTCGTTTTCTGACTCGCTGGTCTGTCTACTCTGTATACCTCATCACAAACCTGAAGTCCGGAGTACTCTGTAAAACTTGTATACGTGTTTTGTTTCCAACTGGTAAACTCAGATAATTGTTATAACTTTTGATTCCGGTGTTTTCAATTCCTTTCTTTATTAAATAGAGATCAGCCTCATCCAACGAACGGCGTGTAGCAGAGGGGGGGGCTATCAGCCACCACCATAGGTGTTCTGCTCCAACAAGTGGTGACCTGCCCGACGTGATGAGTGCTTATCTCTAGAAAGGAACACTGACAGCCAGCGGACGGAATTCAGTCCAGGGGGAGGACACCGAGATAACCGTTGACAACTAAACCAATGGCCATATACAAAAGGTGAGCAAACACCTGTTTTGACTATCAAAAATCTGTGATTGATTATACTAAAAAATGTAGAGTTGTCAGCGGCGTTCTCTGTGTTCTTAGTCACGGTGGGAAATACAATACATATTCTAGTTGGGATATTGGGATAGTGCTTAGAGTCAGGTATTCAGTCCTGTACCTAAGGCACAAAGTGTTTGTAAGAGGCGGGTAGTTCAGTCCCGCCCTACACTCACTATAAACGAAGGCTGCAAGTTTGTAAAAAACAGATGGGTTAAATTCCCCGTAAGTCATGATAAGATTGATTAATACGGTTGGCTTGTAATGCTTTAATTAAAGGCTGCGGGGGTGTAAAAAACAGAAGGGTTAAATTCCCCGTAGATCATGATAAGATTGATTAATACGGTTACCTTTCGTAGTGCTTTAAATGTATAAAATTGCTGTAATTGTTATATTGTGGGTGATACAAAAGGAGAGAGACGCAACCTCCAACTAATTATTTGGAACGACCGAATCTCATCACAACTCTTGCTGTGGGGATAATCAGGCTCATTAAACGTGACGATAAAGAGATTTTGTTGACTGGGTTCCGACTCCTTGCCTGAAGCCGCAATCGCCGTAAGGGGGTTGTAGAAGCTTGCTTCAGGAAGTCACGCTATCTGTTGAAATATACATCGCACAATAAAAATCTGCCTGACTGTATGGGATAAAATGTGTGTAAACCCGCAAACATAATTTAAGAACACCACTCTGTACACAGTACATAGTTAGAAAATAAGTAGTACACAGAGATAGAATTCACATAGTACAAAGTCTGTATAAGGGAATAGACTCTGTGTGATTTTTTAAGTAAAATCTGTGTAATAATTGAGAGAAAACCATATAAGTACAGTTGAATGGAGAAAAGACTGCTGAACATAGACAGAGAGGAGAAGTTCATTCGTGGTCAGCTGCTGCCCTCTGGTGGCGAACAGGGAGTGTTACAACATTCTGAAACATTACACACTGAAAATTTAGAATTAAAGACAATAATTGTCCAGTATATTAAATAAATACAAACGAACACGTATCAACATAGTCAGATAATATAAACGAGGTCAATCATGGAAGGAGATTTTGAAAAAATTATATAAGCGTTCCAATTTCCGGAAGCTTCCGCGAGCAACTGGTCAGGTGCTACCATCTGGTGGCCAATAGGGTGTGGCACAAAACAAACAGACTAATGATAAATTAAGGTTTGGCTCCATCTGCTGGATATATTGTATATTATATTATTTTTAGAATTTGGACGAGAATAGCAAATAGGTGTCCCAGTACCAGGGAGTCTACTAGAACAGTGGGAGACCGGCTGACATTTAATGACTGATATATAAGTAATAATAATATATAATATATAGCTGATATTTAATAACTGATATATAAGGCTCGATATTTCTGAAAATAAGAACACCGTCAACGGCATTCTATTTCAGAAAAAGGGGGGATATACATCAGGCAATATGTATGTGAGATTATTACGTTTTTAAGAGAAATTGATAAATTTAAAATACTAGCTTTGGTTATTTTTTGTTTTGTTTTGTTTGTTGCTTTTAAGAGAAATTGATACATTTAAAATAATCTAGTTTTGATTATTTTTTGTTTTGTTTTGTTTTGTTTGTTTGTTCCTTTTTTGTGTGTGTGTGTGTGTGTGTGTGTGTGTGGTGTGTGTGTGTGTGTGTGTGTGTGTGTGTGTGTGTGTGTGTGTGTGTGTGTGAATGCATGTGTGTAATTGTATGACTTTTTGTGTAAGTGTCTGTGTGTGCGTGTGGATGTTTGAGTGTTTGAGTGTGTGAGTGTATAACTGTATGTATTTGTGAGTATGGTATGAGTGTTTGATTGTGTTTTTGTGTGTCTGTATGTGTGTATGTGTGTATGTGTGTGTGTGTGTGTAAGACAGCCAGGGACGTGCACAGACATTTTGGGGGGGAGGGGCTCAAGTGAGAAAAAGGGCAAATCCCACAATCATTTATTTAAAAAAATGTAAAACTAAAGGTTAAATATATTTGCACATCTCTGGCTTACCGACCAATTAATTTTAATACACTCACGCAATTGTTTAATACTCAACATAATTCTACAAAATAATCAGTTAACACAGAGACAATGGTCTACTTTAGTATTCACTACAAGAGCAGACATCAACAAAGGAAACTATGCCACAATGTGCATGTTTTCTATGCTACTATAGTTAAAATTGCTATAATAATTAGTTTATTTTAGCACAACATTAAGTCCTTTGAATTATTTTTGTGGTATTAAAATAAATAACACTTCAAAATCAACAAAAATGGGAGGGAGGGAGGGAGGGGAGAGAGAGCAGCGGAACTTCAGTCTAATCTCCCGACCTGATATTTTTATTTTTTATTCAATCAATATATTTTTGGAAAGTGTGCGCAAACAGCAGGAAATAAATATTCATTTATTTAAAAAAAAAAAAAAAGAGCACCCCATAGAAAGGGCACTTTCTCTGGAGGAAGAAAAAGGGCAGGGGCTAAAGCCCACTCTCAGGTCTATGTGTGCACGTGCCTGAAGACAGCATGAATATATGGAACCCACATCTGTCTAAAACCCAGACTTTGTGAATGTATGGACCCCACATCTGTCTAAAACCCAGACTTTGTGAATGTATGGACCCCACATCTGTCCAAAACCCAGACTTTGTGAATGTATGTCTATAAACCAGATGGTGTGTGTGGTCGCCCCCTACAGGTCAGTAGCTGAACGTCTCCAGGAAGCTGCTTCCAGTCAGTGACCTCTGCTCTTTCTGATGATGATGATGATGATCTCTGTGTTTACTCCAGGATCCTGCCTGATCTGATCCATGCTGTACCACC